GAAAATAGGAGAGTGGTACTTCCCTGCCTCCCCGTGGTGTTGTGAGAATAAAATGATTAATAGTTGCTCAGATACTACAGTGATGGAGTGGGGTGGGGAGAGCTGCAGTGGGTATACACACATAAATCCACAGATCATTCCAATAAAAGGAAGTGACATTTTACAGCTCTCCAATCAGAAGACAGGCAAGGCATAATCTGGACACACCCATCACTTGCATCTTCATAGCATATTAATTCTGACCCTCGTTTAAAATAAAGTTTGTCCCATGGCTGCTTAGAAGTTTTAATTTAAAAACAAAAACAAAAAAACAACCCTCCTCCCCCACCGTTGGACAAACCCTGAATTCCTTACGCAGTCAAACTTCACGCTGGAGACAATGGGTATTTGCCCCATTAAGAAGCGAGCAAGGACTATATAGCACATGGCTCCTTGTACACACAGAAGTGTCCCGTTAAAGGTTTGTAAAATAAAAGCTGGAACATGTGGAAGTTCCATTCAGCCAGTGGTTTCTGCAGTAAGGAAAAGAAGAAGAAAAAAGAAGCGTTTAAAAAAAAAAATCCGCCCTTTCTTTCTTCTCTCGTCTTCCTTATTCCCTTCCCTTGCTGCCTGTTCTGATCCTCCTTTTAACTTCTTCCTCAATTCATCTTCCCTCTGCTTCCCTCACTTTATTTCTTTGAAGATGTTTGGGAGTTCACAAGAATCAACCAATGACCTGGGTCCAGCTTTTCATTTATACTAAGGCCCCTTTATGCCCCGTTGGGAGAATAAAGACTGTTTACTCTCACTTTAAAGCCTCTTTATGCTGCCAGAGTGTTGCAACGTTTACTCCCATCTTAAGGTCCCTTTACACAGCCAGAGTAGTGTAAAGGGACCCGAGTGTAAGGAAAGGAAGGAAAACGAGGCAAGCACTGCTCAGTCTTTAGTTAACTCCTGTGTTCAACCTACATTCAGCCTACCCTACATTTATCTTTGAATTTCACTACATCACACTGCCTGGTGGTTGATGATTCACAGAGATAGAAGAACTTTCAAATGTACATTTTTACTTGGAAGGCTGAACAGTTTTGGCTACTTCCTGTGTTCAGTTAGGTGACAGGTGGGTCAATCAATTCCTTTCAAAAATACTTCTTCATTATCCCATATGTTGAAGGGCAGTAATGGGAATGCAGCTGAGCCAGCAAAGCTTTTGAGGTGATCTCAAATCTTGTCCCTTGGCTCTTTTTATTCCAAATATGCACCGCGTAGGTATTCTTGAAGAGTCTGTGAAGCTCCGAAGAGCTGACCACTTCAAAGAACTTCTTCCAGTCCTGCCAGCGGATGGGATAAAAGGCTTCTCTGGGAAGAGTACTGACTCCTTTACAGCTTTTACTGCTCCAGAGACTCCTGATGGAGCACCATTTTTTGAAAACACGTGTTAAAAGCTGTGGGCCCTGGTGCCCCCAGATCCAGCCATTGTAATTATCCACATAGTCCTGCATGCAAAGCTCTATGAACTTGTGTTTGGCTTCAAAAGAGAGAAAAGCTCCATTCAATACATATTTGGACTGGATTCCAAGCGCATTGGTGAGGTTCTTTAAGTTCTTAAGGACTATGAAGTCTGTGTCTAAGTAGATACCCCCAAATTTCCACATGATAGCAATTCTACAGGCATCAGAAAGTATGGGTAAGAAATAAGGCTCCCATCTGTGCTGGGCCACCAAATACCAATCAGCTAGAGGGGTACCAGAGAAAAGGTCATTCAAGTCCAGTGGCCGGATTTCCACATTGGGGAAGCAACTCAGCAGGGAGAAGCCCCAGTGTTTTGGAAGAGTGAAATTTCTGTTTGCCAAGCCCTTCATAAGGATGACGACTTTGGTCTCAGGGTGAGCCCTGGCTGCTGATTCGACAGAGCACATAAAGAGAAAACTTGGGTTGGTTTTCTCTGAGGTCTCCACAAAAAATATATCCCCAGGCGGTGGAGGTGGCCTGCCAGATACAGCTGGGGGAGGAGAAGGCACAGATCGAGGACATTTGACTTCCAGAGGCAAGCCATAGAGCAGACTCTTGCCTTTGGCGTCCTCGGTGATTTTCCAGTAAAACATTATGGAGACAAAGGACATGAACTTGAAGGTGATGATAAACACAGCCCAGAGCTTGTGGTTCATCACCACCCTGCTTAGCTGTAGCACACAGATGGGCGTTTTGTACATTTTTGCCTCTACCCCAGGGCCTTGTTCTTCCAATAAAAAATAGGGTGATCTGGAAAAAAATAAAAAGGAAATTATTAAACACAAAAGACAATAGAAACAGTGAACATGAATCCATATTTTGTAACCTTATGCAATTATATATTTTTGACTTTCACAATACATTGGTTATTTTATTAATCACCATTATTATTTATTTGTATTATAGCAGCATCCAGGGCCCCCAATCAGAAACTGCAGCCCTATTGTGCTAGGCACTTTACAAAACATGTAACCAGAGGACAGTCCATGCTCCCTTTAACACCATGCAAACAAATTCTGCCCTCTGTTTACACTCATGCAACTATATGGATTTCAGTGGGGTTGCATGGAGCAGAATTTGGCCCAAAACTAGCTTTTTCTTTCACTTCAGGCCACATTCTAAACCAGACTAACGTAGTAATGATTCTAGAGAGCTGGGAATTGGGAGCTACTGTCTCTGTAGGGCTGCCATCCAAACAATCCTAGAGCCCTGGGAAAAGCCCTGGTGTGGAAAGGCTCCAATTGTTAGGACAGGATGTTGATTACTTAGTAAGGACAAGCACAGTCATTTCCTGACTCTGATTGCTCAAGTGAAGCCAGCCAGGACGGTCACATGTTTCTTCTCACAAGATCTCAATTGCTAGTCTGGCAAAACATGCAATGATCTTTGCTGATCTTACTCTGCTTTCTCATTCCCTTGTGACACCCCACTGTGCTGTTTTGTTGTTACAAAGTCCCACAAGCATAGGTGCTGGAACTAGGGATGCTGAGGGTGCTGCTGCAGGGCTTACAGGTTGGTTCTACGGCTCTCAATAGCCCCCACTATACAAATTGTTCCAGCCCCCCTGCACACAATGTCAGAGCATTATCCAGATTGCCCTCGCACTTCTGACTCTGCTCCACTCTCGTCTGCTCCCTGATTTAATATTTAGACCTTTACAATGAAAATATCTAAATTGGAATATCACCTCCCCCTTCACAACACAGGCCTATGCTCCCGTACCCTCGCTTTACCAAGACCATCCTCTGGGATGGAAGGGGAAACAACCAGTGCCCTTTTCCTTTTCCCTGCACCCTATCAGGGTCTATACCTCCCCCTGGAGTATCTCCACAAGTGTGGGGGAAGCCTGTCTACCATCACAGTCTGCAGTTGGACCAGGGTACATTACTACTGTCCTGCTGTTACTAGCCCTGTAATGTTCTGGCCTGGGGCCGAGTCATTCCTCAGAGTTCACTGGACAGGATTTCCTGCCATTCAGCAAGTGAAGGTATTTGATCTGCCCAGACCAGTCTACTAGGCAGTTTATTTTACCCTCTTCTGATTTACATAGTGTGGCAGAGCTCTGGCTTTGCCTCGGGCGGTCCTGTACTTCTAGGCGGGTAGGGCTTGCCTCAGAGGTTTGCTGTGACCCTCAGTGTAGTCTCTCTCCCCTCCTAGAGGCAAGGGTTACACTACAGCTTACTGATCCACCTTCATGATTGGCCAGTCAATGGGTTTGGTGTAAGAGGCCTCTTTAGTCCCTGTCTTCCTTCTCAGGGAGCGTTTTTGTAGAGGTTGGGGGGAATCCGGGCCTGCCCTCTTTGCCGGGTTCCAGCCCAGGGACCCTAATGGCACCGCAACGGGTAGTTTTCCTATACTACCGGAGCTATAGCCCTTCCCTGGGCTACTTCCCCAAACGGCCCCTCCTAGCACCGTCCTTGGTACCTGACCATACTTGTCCTCCCAGCTCTTTCACCACGCACCTTCTTTCTCCCAGTCTTCCCACAACACACCTTCTTACTCCCAGCTCCTACCAGCTGGCCTCTCTGAAGGGGCTTCCTTTTAAACTAGTCCCAGCAGGTTCTAAATGGGCTTCAGGTGATCTGATTAGCCTGTTTCCCTTGATTGCTTCTAATCAGTTCTTAATTGTTTCCAGGTGTCTTATGGAGTCTTCCTGACTTAATTGCTTCCAGCTCCTTCCTGACTGCTATGGGACAGCCCCTGGCCTGGTCACTCAGGGAAGAAAAAACTATTCATCCAGTGTCCAGTATGTTTTCCTTCTACCAGACTCCTGCACCCAACCAGTCTGGGTCTGTCACAATAGGCAGATGGAAACTCTTCAGGAATTCGAAGCACCCAGCTCTACCTATTGCATGTAGCAGCATCTAATAAATCCCAACAAAGCAGTGCACCTTTGCCTCAGAATTAAACACACTTATCTTCCTGATACATTAGTGGTAATTGAAGCTGCTGAATAGCAGAAACATTCTTTGCAGCAGCTCACCAGCCAGGGGAGTGGTGAAGTGTTGCTGAAGTAGCCAGATTTGGGGGGCAGGGTGGTGGAGACAGATAGCTATGGTATCTGAGCAAAGAACAACAGCTAACAAGAACTGGCAGTGCTGTGAGAAGCAACGTGTTATTTTCAGCGCTGCCTTCTTGCCAAAAAAAAAAAAAAAAAAAAAGTATCATTGGTAACAGTTGGCTTCAGTTCTCTTTTAAACTTTCCATTCTGAAGAAATCATTTTAGTCAGTAACACTCGATGGGACTCCTCATTACTAGGGCTGGCTAGAAAACAACAATTTTGTTTTGCAGAAATTTTTGAAATCTTTAAAGAGAGTGAAAGACACCACCCAAGCCCCAAAGTGGCCAATAGCCCAGTGATTAGGGCACTCACCTGGAATGGAGAAGACCCACAGTCAGCTTCCACCTCAGCCTGATTTGGAGCAGGGACCCGCCCTAATCAGCAGGCCATTTTCAGTTTCTCCTGTTGGATCTATTCCACTTTGTACAAATAATTACATATCCACTGGGCCAGAAAAAGTGACTTTATAGGCTGGTGATTAAGGCCTGGTCTACACTTGGGGGGGGGGGGGGTATCTATCCAAGATCTAAGTTACGGTGTCTTCACTGCGGTAAGTCGACAGCTGATGCTCTCCCGTCGACTCCGTCTCTCACCCTGGTGGAATACCGGAGTCGACGGGAGAGCACTCGGTGGTCGATTTATCGCGTCTAGACTAGATGCGATTGATCCAGCGGGGGCGATTTATCGCGGCCCGTCAATCCAGCAGGTAATGTAGACAAGCCCAAAGACAGCTCTCAGAGATCTTATGGTTTCAGAGTAGCAGCCGTGTTAGTCTGTATCCGCAAAAAGAACAGGAGTACTTGTGGCACCTTAGAGACTAACAAATTTATTAGAGCATAAGCTTTCGTGGGCTACAACCCACTTCTTCGGATGCATCCGAAGAAGTGGGTTGTAGCCCACGAAAGCTTATGTACTAGAGATCTTATGCTCACATCTGCACTATAAGGTGAAATGAGTAAACCATTGTAGAAATGGAGCAAAATTAACTCACCCAAATTCTTCAGTCTAGAAAGGAACCAATCGGAACTGGACAATCAGGCCTTAGTGTTTCCCCATAAGCATTTGATATTGTTGAGAAATAGGCAAGTTGTTAGAGCTGAGTGAATACAAAGCCAAAAGACAGAAATAAAAAAGGTTGGTTTGGATCAACTGCAGCTTAGATTTTTCCCCTGGCTGAAATAAAAACAAAAAAGATTTCATTCGGGTTGAGCAAAATGACATTTTCCAAGTGAAATTTGATTAGAACTGACATTTGGGGAGCAGAACCATTTCTTTCCAGACAAAAATGTCAAAAAGGGCTATTTTGAAAATGTCAAAATGAACAGTTTTGATTGTTTTTTTAACCCCCCACCCCTCATTTTTTTATTTGGCTGAAGCTATTTGCCAAATGTGACCCAAATTCACCAACGCATTTTGGAGCAATCAAAAAAACCTTTTTTGGGGGGTGAATTTATTATTTGCTGAAAAATTGTCACTCAGCCATAGCAAGGGTCATATTTTCCACAGTATTAGGTATCAGGCCTACAGGTGCTGGAAATTGACCACACATGAGCATGACGTGAAGTGCAATCTGCTAGACAAGACTCATTAAAATGTGTCAAGACTACTGTGAACCCAGCAAAAATGTCACTTGGGGAGGATACATTTCCTTTACAATAAACTAACGGCTAGGGGAGACCGTTGACCATTATAATTCTGACCTACTTTGTATAGCCAAACCCTATGAATCTGAACAGTTAACAAAAGGAATCATTAGGGACAAAATTAGATCAGAGAAAGGTTGCTTGCCATTACAAATTTGAAAAACTACACATATTACTGCTTTTTTTTTTTCCTTTGGGGCCTGATCCAAAGCACTTTGAAGTCAATGGGAGTCTGTCCTCTATTTTGTTGTATTGCAGGCAGAAGACAGTGAGAGACAATAAACATGGTACTCCACAAATGTGGTTTTTACAACGTCATTATTCAGAGTACAAGCACACTGACAGTGTCCAGCAAAACTACATAACAATCAAAGGCAGAAAGTGAAAAAGTCACCTAAACAATAGGGGGAACGTAGTTAAGTTGATACAAGTCTCTAAAGGTTACAGTAACTCCTCCACTTTCATCCCGTTTTGTACATTTGAAATCATTAGCTGCTAGTCTAAAATGATGGTGCTTGCATGTGTCTCCTGGCATCTTTTACATTTTGATCACAAGCCCTATTACCTGCAATCTTCTCTTCCCCTGCACCACACAATTAGTCCCGTGAACAACAACTTTTGTATTTCATACTGCATTAGCTTATGTTATTCACTGGTGCATTATGAAATGTTCACAAGGAATCATCATCATGACAGGTAATATCTGATGCATACAGTTCTGCTTATAACAGCATCAGTAATAATGACAAGCAAAAGCTAATCATGTACCTCACGTGCAATTATAGAGAACTGCAAACACGTTAAAAAAAAAAAATCTATGGGAATTTATAAGCATGATTTTCTGAATGGCAGGAACACAGTGTTTGACAAATAAAGACAGGTTTACAGACTATAGCCTACAGCAGGGTTTCTCAATCAGTGGGTCAGGACTCAAAATTGGGTTGCCAAAATGTTTCGAAGGGTCACGTGGCAACTCCTTGTGGCTCCTATCCCATGGGGCTGGCTGGGCTCGCCTCCCTGCTCTAGGAACTGCAACCTCTGGGGTCCCAGCACCACTCAGGTTTAGCCCGGCTGTCATGATGATGGAAGTCCAGGTAGGACAAATGTGAGTGAGTGGCATTGCAACTCCATGAGCCAGGTCACAACTCCACTCACACAAATTTGATCCAGTCAGGGGGGCGGGGCCAAACCTGAGCGACACTGCAACCCCGGAGGCTGCAACGCCTAGAGTGGAGAGCCAGCCCCACAGCACAGGAGCTGCATGAGCCACCACTGTGTGAGGAGTGCCAGGCAGGACTCCAGAGGTGAAGCCGGGGGGGGGGGGGGGGGGGGGAGGGAGAAGAGGGTCATTTCAGTTCCACACAGGGCCAGGAGATTTTTCTTCTTCTGCTAGTTGGAGGAGCCAGCCCCACAGGTTCTCAGTGTCCATATCAAAATGGCACTGGAAACAATGCCAACAAGACTCCATGACCCAAAATCTAGCAAAGAACATGTGATGAGAGGACAATTCCTTCCTCAAAGCGTTTACAATTTAAGTGAGAATTAACAATACTGCACAGAGGTTGATTCTGATCCATTGCCTCCCCCCCCCACACACACCTTACATCCAAATTCACAGTCTACACTACAGAGTTTTGTCGACAAAAAGGCAGCTTTTGTCAACAAAACAGTAAAGGTGTACACACTGCAATATGACTTTTGGCAGCAAACATGCCCTGTTTCAGCAACAAAATAAAACCACCCTGACGAGAGACATAAGGCTTTTTGTGCAAAATTTTCATTGACAAAATGCCAGCGTAGACACCACGCTTGATTTTTTTCACTTTAATTGGCCTCCAGGAGGTGTCCCACAATGTCCATCCTGACCGCTCTGCTCAGCAGTTTGAACTCCACTGCCTCACAGCCAGGTAACCACCATCTGCCCCTCCCCCTTAGAAGCCCTGGGAATTTTTGAAATTCCATTTCCTGTTGCAGGGCCGGCTCTGGCTTTTTTGCCGCCCCAGGCAAAAAAGCCTCCCGCCGCCCCCCACCGGGGAGAGCGGCAGGGGAGGGCGGCGAGCCCGGCCGGGGCCCCACTCTCCCCGGCCGGCCGGAGTGCTGGGAGGAGGGCGGCCCCACTCTTCCCGGCCGGCCGGAGCGCCGGGGGGAGGGCGGCGAGCCCGGCTGGAGCCCCGCTCTCCCCGACCGGCCGGAGCACCGGGAGGAGGGTGGAGAGCCCGGCCGCGGCCCCACTCTCCCCGGGTGAGCGCCGCCCCCCTCCAGGTGCCGCCCCAAGCACATGCTTGGAGGGCTGGTGCCTGGAGCCAGCCCTGTCCTGTTGGCTCGGTGTGGAGAGATCTCATTGTATCTTCCCAGGTGACCATGGCAGCTTATCGCAGCAAATGCTCTCCCGCTTGGACTACTGCAGAGCTGCTGGATCTGCTCGGTATATGGGGAGAGGAGGCCGTGCAGTCCCAGCTACACTAGAGTCATAGGAATTTTGATATCTACGGGCAGATTTCTCAAGGCTTGTGCGAAAAGGGCTATGATCGGGACATGCTGCAGTGCAGAGTGAAGATAAAGGAGCTGAGGCAGGTGCACCATAAAGCGAGGGAGGCAAATAGTCGCTCCGGTGCTGCACCTAAGATCTGCCGGTTCTATCCTCAGTGGCAACCCCACCTCAGTGGCAATCACCAAAAGCCCTGTGGATACTTTGGCGAGCCTGGAGGCAGTGGAAAGAGGACCTAACCTGGAGGATGAAGTCATTGATGAAGAGGTGGAGTTAGACGACAATGTGGAGCTCCTAGCGGGGTCACCCAATGGGGAAGGCAGCCAGGAACTGTTCACCACTCCAGAAGTGTCTAGCAAGAAGCAGGAGAGGAGACACTTATAAAACAAAGATTGTACACACCAGGAGTGTTTTTTAGCAAATTTGAATAACTTGTTTATAGTTAAATGATTTTACTTAAATAACCTTTTGCCTGGATTATTTACAGACACTTCCCAAAGGAATGGCTGCAAAGAAACCAAGAATTTTTTTTTTTTTAAACACATTTACGTAGTGTTATTGCTTAATTTCCCCCCCAGTAACTACAGAGTTAACCTTTTTACTTTCTTTCTTTTAACTTCCTTAAACTGCGGTTGCCTGCTTGTTTGGGCCCGATCCTTCTTTCTTGCTGGTTCACTTTTTTTCCCCCCCCATGGGCACAGGCATTGTTTACTACCAATTCAGCAAGGAGGGTGGGCTAACCCCCCTTTTATTTATTTATACTTTTAGCTGAATTAAGGAGGCGATTAATTTCTGCCTAGATCTATTTTGCTTTATATATACACAACGACACCTACTACTCCTACCAAACAATTACTTAAAACATTACTGCAATAAACTCAGGCCTCTTTCTTCGGCGAGACCTCCTATCCTAGACCTCCTTTTCAGGCGCGGTCAATGCCTCAACAGTCACACCAATAGGAAGGGCTTTACGAGGGTGGTCTTCGCACACACCCCTTTCGGCAAAAGGGCACCGGCCCGTCTTCACGAGAACAGGATAGGAGACCCCACTGCCTCCAGTACGGCGGGCGATTTCCTGGGACTCCCCCTCTCTCTGAGCAAGGGGAGGGAGCCTCCCGCTCCAAGCGGAGTCGCTCCAAATGAAAAATCAAGGGAGGAACTCGGTCGTGGGTCAACCAAACAGAAGGGTCAGGAAAGGCGCGGTCCCCATACACTCCTCCCCCAGCAGAGAGCACCGGCCCGTCTTCAAAATAACGGGATGGGTTACTCCACTGCCTAGGAGTACGTGGGCAGTTTCCCAGGGCCTCCCTGCTCTCCGAGCAAGAAGGGGCTTCTCGGCACTTCAAGGGAAACAGGGGTAGGGTCACCTCACGGCCCACAATCACACAGCACACCTAAATCGGGACTTCATTACGGCATCTCTCACCACTACCAGCCTATTGCTGGTGGGAGCCCTGCCACCCCCCTCGGCCGCTCCGGGGTCTCTTCCTCCCGACAACACCTGCGGGATCCACTCCTCCCGGGGTCACCCAGCGGCCGGTCAGTCGTCCTCCGAGGGGACCAATCCCCGAAGGCCGAGCCACACGAAGCTAACTAATACAAAACAAACAAAACCCAACACAGACAAGTTACAGAACGGACACACACAAAACGAACAGGTGTCAGGCAAATGAGTCTAGCCTCAAAAGGTTCGGATCACAGCGCGCCCTTACCTGAACCCAGAGCCTACAGGCAGCTCCCCACCTTCATGGTACCTTCCGGGGCATTATGGTCAGTGTACTGGGGAGGGGTTGACAGGATGCCCAAAGAAGGCAAACCTCTGGCAACACCATCAGAGGACCCAACCACATCAGCCACACCATCAAGCGCTCATTCACCTGCACATCCACTAATGTTATATATGCCATCATGTGCCAGCAATGCCCCTCTGCCATGTACATTGGCCAAACCGGAGAGTCCCTCCGCAAAAGAATAAATGGACACAAATCGGACATCAGGAATGGTAACACACATAAGCCAGTAAGTGAACACTTCAATCTCCCTGGTCATTCTATTACAGATTTAAAAGTCACTATCATTGAACAAAAAAACTTCAGAAACAGACTTCAAAGAGAAACAGCAGAACTAAAATTCATTTGCAAATTTAACACCATTAATCTGGGCTTGAATAGGGACTGGGAGTGGCTGGCTCATTACAGAAGCAGCTTTTCCTCTCCTGGAATTGACACCTCCTCATCTATTATTGGGAGTGGACTACATCCACCCTGATTGAATTGGCCCTGTCAACACTGGTTCTCCACTTGCGAAGTAACTCCCTGGTCTCCATGTGTCAGTATATAATGCCTGCATCTGTAACTTTCACTCTATGCATCTGAAGAAGTGAGGTTTTTACCCACGAAAGCTTATGCCCAAATAAATCTGTTAGTCTTTAAGGTGCCACCAGACTCCTTGTTGTTTT